AAAAAATTAATAATTATTCTAAATTCTAAACTCGAATTCTTTATATTAATTATGAAAGTCAAAATTTTCTTTTCCTCTTTAAAGCCCATACTTTGTTAAGAGTTTATTTAAATGTAAATAAAATGCCAACTTTCTACTGATTATTGTTATTGCTCTTAAGTGCCCTTGAGATGAGTCGGTTCTGACTCATAGCAACTCTGTATAGGGCTTCCTAGGAGGGGTTGGTGGGTTTGAACTGCGGATCTTGCGGTTAGCAGCCCAGTGCTTATCCTATAGTGTCCTACTAGAACTCCCTTATCCAGAAATACATTTTAGTAAATAACACATGAGCTATTTTAAGTAGGTCTTTTAGAACCAAAGGAAATCCAAGTTGCAACTCACCACATTTATATTTGTGTGGGAAAAAAAGGACACATGATTTAGTGAGAATTAGATGTAATTGTGAACTGCTTACCTGCTGGCTGTTTTCACAGAACAGTTTTTCTTGTGTCCTCTTTCAGCTCGGTTATCTCTCAGAAGCTGATGCTACACAAAGTGTTAAAACAAAGTTAAAGAAACAGATATTTTTCATATCATTCTTCAAGTATAAAACTATTCTCATTCAAATGGCCCCTTATAGTTTACTTGCATTATTTTTTTCTACTGTGTTCTCCTAATCCTACTTTTGCTAAAGATGTCATTGACACTTTTGTAAAACTTCTAGGAGAGTTGGCTATTTGGTGTTTCCTTCATAGAGAACAGCCCAGGACTGGAGGTCTAGACTGTGATTCTAATCCTGCTTCACTACAGCGGCCCTGAATAAAGTCTGACAACCTCTCAGCACTGCAAACACCTCTAGCACTGTAAACAACTGTGAGGTGTTTTTTGTTTTTTTTTTTTGGTCTTTGTCTTACACTTTGTCAACTAAACTGATATAAATGAACTAATAGTATTCCCTCTGTGCTTATTGGCCAGAAGAAACACACTTAGAACATTCTTTTTTCAAAGAAATTATTGGCTTGGAAATATGTAGTTAGACAATATGTATGTCATTGCTTCCTCAAGATGCCTTTCCATCAAAGTCCCTTCACACTTGCCTTACTTTAATTGGAAAGAAAAAAAGCAAATAGTCAATACTTTTTGACTATGTGTTCACTTAAACTTTAGCTTGTCTTGCTTATGCAGAAATACGATTCTATGTAACACTGGGTTAAAGAGTTGTGCAGCAAATTAGAAATGAATACCAACCAAGTAAAAGTTTTAGAAGTAATAAGACTGGATAGACCTGGGTTTGAATCCCAACAGTGCCAGTTGTAACTTAACAAGTCATAAATCCCAATACCTCTAACATGTACAAAGTGTGTGACCTTAAACAAAGTGCTTTACCTCTCTAAGCCGGCCTGTACAATGGAGATAACAATAACATATATCTGAACAGCTGCTAGTTTTATTATTATTATTATCATTAAAATGATAAGTCAGGTAAAGCACTTAGTCTGATGAGTGGCACAGAGGAAATGCTAAGCAAAAAGCTGAAATACGACTACTATGATGATGATGATGATTATAAATAATGAGCATGGGTGTCAGTGCATACTCTCTGATCAGTATCAACATCAACAACCTTTACTGAAGGCTTTCTTTGAACTGTTTAATGACACCATTTAGAATCTCCTATTAGCATCAGTTTAGAGCATGGTGGCTCCATATGATAAGCACTGGGCTGAGAATCACAAGGTCCCTGGTTTGAGCCCTCCAGCCACTATGGGGGAGAAAGATGGGGCTTTCTGCTACTGCAAAGATTTAAAGCCTCAGAAACACTATATAGGGATGTTATGAGTAGGAACCGACTTGAAGAGACTTAACAACATTATCATCAGTTGATTACCTTTGAGAAGGAATAGACAGATCTTAGTCACCAAAAATGTGGTTAGATCATTCATTCTTTCAGGAATGTCTCATTAAATTAGTACATCTTAAATTTCTCTTAAGCATCCACTTCTTTCTACTTCCACTGTCATGATTCTAATCCAAACTCTCATTTTCTCTCACCTCGTATGGCCTCCTAAAGTTGTCTTCCTAACTCCAAGGTTGCTCCCATCTAAACAATTCTCCACACTGTCACCAGAGTGACCTTTCTAAATTGTAGATCTGATTACATTACTCTCTGGTGTTCCTCAACGATTTCTCTTTCTTCTTCAGATAAAGCCCCAAATCTTGTATGTGGTTCTCACGGGCCTTCATACTTTGATTACATCTCTAAACTTGTAATTTATTATGCGTTTCCTTTACCTCTAACCTAACCTCCTTACTTCATACATCCTATAACCCAGCCATATGAAACTTTTTAGCTTGAAGTATGTACCATGTTCTCCTTTACCTCTGGCCCTTGGCTACATTATTAAATCTGCCTTCATCTCCAGAGTCCTGAACAGTATTTGCAGCCTTTTTAGTGTTCAATAAATATTTTTTGAATGAATAAATGAGATAAGAAAAAGGGAAGTGAGATGTGGTATGTGCTATGTGGCTGAAGTCATACTTCATTGCTACTTATAAGAAACAGCATCCATTTATCTCAAGTCTATTAATTTGAATGTGCTTCAATTTAAAAA